CATAACAAAGGAATAATAATTTGACTACAGTTTTAACATCGTTTAAAAAAGCCGAGAAACAAAGTGACCCGAGTATTGAACCTTGACCTATTCCTGTATATGTGGAGTAATAGGTGTCGTCATTTTTAAATTTAAAAGTTCTGTTGGCTAAATTGTTAAAAACTAACATAACTAATTGGTAACTTAATTTAAATTTACATACTAATTTACGAATTAATTTATCATGTGATATGCTAGAGAAAGCGTCTCTTAAATCTATGTATACAGCACCAACCATTCCGTTTTTCTTATCTAACTCACTATATACATGTGGTAAACTGTTCTAATGCCGAATGACAGGAGCGATCAGGTCTGTACGCATGCTGTTCATTAATTAAGTTACATTCAATTCTGTCAATCATTCTATGATACAAAAAACGCTCAAAAATTTTACTGTAAGAATTTAGCAGGACAATAGGTCGATAACTTTTTGGAATATTACGTGCACCTTTTCCTTTATAAAGTGGAATAACTACTGAGGACCGAAACTGTGTTGGTACATATATAATATTTAGTAAATGTGTAAACAAAATAGCTAATTGTATACAGAAGGAACTTGTACATTTCTTCATTATCCATACAGGTACATACTTATTATCATTCTTGTTCTTGTTTTTAGTTTCTGAGATCATTTGACCTATGTCATCAGAAGTTACAGTTAAAGTTTCATTATTATCATTATCGAAATTATATGTACGTATAAAGTTACGCGTTGAGTCGCGATCCGGTGGAGTTTCTGGCTTGATAAACAACTTATCTGCTAGAATATAGTTAATTTGAACTTTATCAGTCACAGGAGTATTGTTGTTATCTAGAATAGAAACAATATCAGTACATTTTTGTTTTCTAAAATTAGTCAATTCATCAATTGTATCCCATAGAGTTTCAGATTTTAGTTTTTTACGGAATTTCTCATTAAAATATTCTTTCTTTGACTTGGCTAATTCGTATGCTACATTGTTTCTTGCTATTCGATAAGGTTTCCAATCGCCGTTTACTTTTGCGTCCTCTCTAAGCTTATTTCGATTATTACATAACAATTTAATTTCATTACTAAACCATGGGCATCGCCTACGTTTTAGAAGTCTTTGGCGTAGAGGGGTAATTGAATCTAGTTTATTCATAACGTGATTGTTAAATCTAATTACCTCTCGGTCTGTAGACAGCTCATTGTTACTTAAATTAAAATTGAAGTCTAAAACATGTTTGCCAAAATCTGTCCATTTAATATTCTTGACCGATCTAACTAAACAATATAATGGTGGAACTTTAATTTTGCCTAATTTTCTTTCTATGTAACAAAGGTCATGGTCTGAACCACCGAAAGAGAAATGGCCTGCCGATACATAATTTCGCTTGTCTGTTACATATATATGGTCTAATAAGGATTTACCTTGAAAAGTTGGACCGGATATCATTTGCCACAAGTTGAAAGATTTGCACATTAAGTATAACTTGTGAGTATCGACATCAAAGTTATTTAAATAGTGTAACAGATTATAATTAAAATCACCCATAAAAATCTTCTCGTACTCGAATTGACTTAGGAAAACTTGCAGTTCAATAAAGGATTCAAGAAACTTAGATTTGGAAGATTCTGGGTTGCGGTAAATAATTATTACAATTACTGGTTTGATAAATTGTCTATACACCTTAATAAGTAAGACCTCGACTAAATTTGGAAATTTTACCTGACAATCAATTGTTTCGTACTTAAAAATTTCACTTACGTAAACAATTAATCCACCTCCACACTTTTTAATATTATTGTCACGATCCACACGGATCATATGATAGTTTGGGACTGAGAACATATTGAGAGGTACACTGTGCGGATCAAGTCTGGATTCTGTACATGCGAATAGAGTGAGAGTATTGCTCTGTAAGAAATTACAAATTTCAGTAAATTTATTCCTAATGCCATTTATATTTATATGGTAGAAGAGAGATCCTTTGCGAGTTTGTTGTGGACGGAGAGTCGTGGACGTTGAGGGTGGCAGGATCGGGGTGGGGGAGGGGGGAGGGACGATGTTTTCAGTGTTGTCGTTCATCCTCCGTATAAGTGAAAGAACTGGATAGTGAGGTGGTGGTGCGAATGGTGGTCCTTCACTTCAGATAAGTACCGGAAGGTCACTTATGTGCCACTTGCGTACTGGGGGGAGGGCATGGTTCAAGGACGCACCCCCAGGGCTAAATTGAAGTGTGTGGTTTCGCCACGACCACACACTATATTTCAGTGAAAAAACTGCAGTGGGGGGCAGAAAACAAATAGTTTTTTTTAATAATTTAATTTATTATTGAGAGGAGGGAGAAAGGAGCTTGTGCAGGTTCGAGCTTCCCGCGAGAGATGTTTAAATTTTATAAATTTTATGAATACATAAACTAGTTTAATAAATAGCATAAATTATCAAATAGTAAAATTGTTTATACATAAGTACCAATTAAGTAATTTTATCGAATCTATTGTATTTGAAAGATGTTCTCCAGTAAACAGAGCTTCAACAAATTGCTGAATTTAAGAAAAGATAAGGTAAATGGTAAACAAGAGTATTTACTTGTCTAATTTTTCTTAGGTGAGGCATAGCCGGAAAGCGGGGCCCCGTCTCAAAATGCATATGTGAATATGCTCAAGTGTGGCCCGGCGAAGCAGAGTATGCATTCAGCGTGGGTGCTGAAAAACTCTCACAAAGTTTACGCCTTAACGATGAGTCAAATCGAAAAATTACAAGTCAAAATAGTTACATCATTCACATTCTCTAACTTAATTTCCTTTTTCTTCAGATTTCGAAATCTCTCAGTTTTTCTATTACAAATTGAATTTTGAAACTTTTAAACAGCTGATGTCTGATAAAAATTTAAACTTTTAAATTACCATAATTTCACAAATTAACCTATTCAATTAGATCTATTTTTCGTGTAAAACCTATGTTGACCTAAAATAATTATTGAAAATGTGATGGACCAATTAAAGATTTTATCCAGTTATAAAGCAGCGTACTGCCAGAAGTAATAGGGTAAATAAGTACAGGTCACATATCGTCGTTCTAATTCTACAATAAGCTAAGTGCCATCCTTGCTTCATTTTACAACGAGCTAAGTGCACGTAAATTCAATGTTAAATGGCTGCACTTAGCTCATTGTAAAATTAAGCAAAGACGGCACTTAGCTCATTGCAGAATTATAACTATGATATGTCGGTGTGGTGGTCGAGTGGTGTAGGGGCAGGAGGTTAAACCCTAGGGATCCGAGTTCGAATCTCCTCGGATCCCAGTTTTTGCAACTTTTTTTGGCGTTTAGATTATTCATTTTTTTATAATTTTTTCATAATTTAAATTTTAAATTTAATGTTTAATTTATTTTTAGACTGAGGCAGGGGGTATGAAACCGTCATGTCTGGCCGTCTAACGATAACTCTTTAAATTTATCCGATTGGGTTGAAATTTTCACCATATCTTTATGGGGTGAAATTACGAGCCAAGTTCGAAGATTAGCCAAATCGGCCCAGCGGTTGACCGGTGGGGGTCATACATACAGAAGTAGGGGTATTATCACCAAAATTTTAAATTGGTCGTAGAAAACTTAAATTTGGTCATTAATGGTTTCGAATGAAAGAATATGAAGTGAAATCTAGAAAAATTTCACCTGGAGGTACCCTGTTGGGTAACCTCCACTGATTTTCAAATACAATCCTGGAAACTTGAAATTTGGCACATATATCACTATGTGATGATGATGAAAGAAAATGAAAGGAAATTTGAACAATTTTCACCCAGAGGTACCTTTTAGGGAGACCCTCAACCGATTTTGAAATATCGCCATAGAAGGCTTAAATTTGGCACAGAGGCATCTGACTGCTTCTAACCATGGGATGTGAATTAAATTTGGAAAAACTTTCACCCGAAGGTACCCCATGGAGTGACCCCCAACGATTTAAATATATTGCCCTAGAACCTTGGAATATAGGTCTCTGATTGCTGCAAATTAAATAATATGATATGAAATCAGGAAAAAAGTGACCCGGGATATGTTATTGGGTGAGCCATACTGATTTTTTAAATCCTGCAATTCAGATTAATGGCATCGACTTCCTGTGAAAATTAGAGTCACCTAATCCACACAAACCTAACCAAACCAGAATAAGCTGGAACACGGTGTGATGAGTGGTTATTCATCAACAACAGTGGGATACACGTGTCAATTTAAATCAAAAAAATGAATTTTACTTTTATTCATAAACACGAAATGAATAGTTTGTGTCATAATTTTACATTTTGTAGATATTTTATTTATGTTATGACCCAATCGCTGCCCTCCCCCCTTTAACTGGATACTACTACGTCAAAGCATCGATGTATAAAGTCACGGCGCGCATTGTTAAACATATCGAGCAGAACGACCACAATAAAACCGGATTTCTGAAATATAAAATATATAAAATAAAATAAAATATAAAATTGCTGATAAATATAATGTTAAAAAAATCATGATCATGGCGTATATTTTTTCAGTCCCTGTGCATTCCGTTCTCACTGAATAGATACAAATTACGAGAGACACTGTGAAGAATAATTTTTGGCAGGCATCTCTCCTTACTCGTTTTTTGTCATCTCTAACCACCTCTACCATAATTTAACCCCCAATTATTTTCTTACCCCTCGCATGGTCGTTGGAATTAAAATGTCATGTTGAATTCGATATTCCCTTCCAGCCGTGAAATTCCCTGGGATCGAAATTCAGGCAATCGCTTCAACCGGTGCTCCTCCAGAAGGATGGAAATTTGACCAATATTCCAGCGAGCTCGTACTACTGGCTGTGGATAAATAAGTATTTTGTTTTAATTAATTGCAAAATTAAAAAAGTATGGGCGAAGGTTAAGTCGTTATCCGTACTAGGATTAAATACTGGCGACACTTGGTACGAAAGCCCGGTGGAGAGTGGGCAGGGTTGGGCTATACAATCAGTCACGGCAAGAGAAACAAAAGTTCCAAGCTCTACAAATAAATGAGAATTAATGAGAAGGTACTGTAATCAGTGACAAAATTATTTGAGCAGTTTTATAATTGTACCAGGATCGCACCGCCGGGGGGTGGGGTAACGTTGTAGATTGGCCTCGGAGTAGTAGTTTGCCTGGTCGTTGTAGGTGTGGTCGTCGTGGGTGTGGTCGTCGTGGGAGTGGTCGTCGTGGGTGTGGTCGTCGTGGGAGTGGTCGTCGTGGGCGTGATCGTCGTAGGTGTGGTCGTGGGTGTGGTTGTCGAGTCGCTATGAATATGTACAGAAAATTTAATTTAACAAAGTTTTAACCTTTTGTAATCAATACTCCAATAAATGACCACATTTGCCTTAAAGCTCACGTCGCATATTCCGTCGTCGTCACGATGACGCACGGCGTTACGCTCTCATGATTACAAACAAGTAAATTTTGATCCCACACTGTAAACGGAGGGCAGCACGGAACAATCGGATTCCCATTTGTACATACAATGAATTTGCGACAATTGTACGGATAGGTCGGGGCGCCATCCTCCCACGGGGGACAGTCCACCATCTGGATTTTAATCATTTTAAAGAAACTGTGTAAAAAAACTTCTCAAATTATAATCTTGACAACCTATTTATTTACCTGGAGTCCGACAAAATCTACCTCGCATTCTGCAATTGTCGTCTGAGCACCAGAGTTATTTATTAGGCCAAAAATGAACAATGCTCCAAATAATTTGGAAATTACTCTTGGAAACATCATTTTTAACGATTAAATTTTGAATGATCCAGTATCGATTTATACCCTCGCTTATATTTGACTCGCTCAATTGACGTACGAGCTTGGTCAGACTTTTATCTGTGCCAAAATTCACGGAAATGTGCTAATGATGGCTTGACAATCAAAATGATTGCATAATTACACTTTGTGCACTTGATTAGTCCGAATTTCTCAGAATTCTTGAGACCCAATGTCATCTCGTGATTGATTGGTGAGCTCAATTATCCATCTCCTGAGTGAATTCAAATTAATTGATAACGAACAATGGAAGTTATCCGGAGAAATGCAATCCATGTTGAAAATGATTGACATACCCTTCTGATTAGTTGCATGTTTGCATGTATCTTTAATGCATATTAATCTTCAATTCTCGTATGTGTACAGAGTCTAATGTATAAATTTAAATAATTTTGATAGTATTCAGGGGAGTACAGGAAAAAACTTAGTAGTGGAAAAAACTTACCATGGAGGTCGGTTAGGAAAACCATCACTTGTTCTGGGAAGGTAGCCCAGATCACCATTCGGCCCTGACTACTAAGAAGTGAAAAACCCAGATAAGACAAATGAATGGCAGAGATTATAAGCGATTTACATATCGGAGAATTGTGACATTCAAACGAGTAGGCACCGTGCTGGCGGAGACACGACGGATGAAGGCTGGAGTGGAGCATCCACGGACCACAATCTGTAATTTGAAATCCAGGTAAAGACAAAATACAAAGAAGTTTGCATTTAAGAAGGGCGCACGGCAACAATGTGTTCTATGATATTCTATGTACAAGGCTTGTAGTACAAGTTAATAGTCACGCAACAATTTAGAGAAATATCCTGTATATATTTACTAACTACCTTATATTTTATTAAATTGAGGAATTTGCTTAATCACTATTTACTGGAGAACATGTCTTAAATAAGCATAATAGATGCGATAAAATTACTTAATTTGTTCTTATGTATAAACTATTTTATTATATGACAAACTAGTTTATTAAACTAGTTTATATATTCATAAAATTTATAAAATCGTTTATACATAAGAACAAATTAAGTAATTTTATCGCATCTATTATATTTTAGACATGTTCTCCAGTAAATAGTGCTTAAACAAATTCCTCAATTTAATAAAATATTTAGTAATTGGTGTATACAGGATGTTTCTCTAACCTGTTGCGTGACTATTAGCTTGCATAACGTCCTTTTGCCGTGCACCTTTCTTAAATACAAACTTCGTTGTATTCTGTCTTTACCTAAATTTCAAATTTTGTATATAGTTTTGCAATTATATCTAAAATATCGTTATGTGGAAAACTTGTCAAATTTTTATAATGTTTGATACACATATTCCATGATAATGAACTGGCTTCGGTTCTGTTTAGGGCTTGGCAACATTCTGAATGCCTACGTATTAATTATAATTTACTTCCAAATTATTTCTCAACTCAAACAATTATCTAATTTCCTGTTTACGTAAAATGGACAATTTTACAAATTCTTTTCCATACACTTACGTAAATAACAGAAACGCTACAAAGACGATTGGGACGCTAGCTTGGGCAATGCTTATTGCAAAAGCATTGGAGAAATTATATTCCTCAGTCTTCATTTAAGAATGTTGTATCTACCCCAAACTATATGTGGGTTATTATTAAAGTATTTTGGAAGTTGTTTACTGCAAGTAAAATCTAACAAAATCTAAAGTCTTTGTCAGTGTTGCAAGTGGTATAAACCAATTTTTACCAGACATTGGGAAAAAAGGGAAAAATGAAATTTTTACCACCCACTTAAAATTAGTAGGAAATGGAAAAAATGGGAAAAAGTTGGAAAAATTCCGTTTTGGGCGACTTGAAACAACTTCTTCAAAAGTTAATATTTCGAAAATCTAACTTCATATTCGTATTCTCCATGAAATTCTGAAAAAATAAGTTGGTAATACCGTTGAAATTGAATAATCTTTAAAATTAACATGCATTCACATGGGGAAATTAAAATTTTTATTTATTTGAGCAAAAAATGGTCATATGACACACCAAAATGCTCAGAATTTTATGGAGATCACAAATACATATGAAGTCAGATTTCGGAAATATTGATTTTAAAGAAAGTTAGTTTTCTCCATAACTAAATACATGGGAAATAAATTTTCCCAATTTTGGACGGTAAAAACCAATTTTTCCCATTTCTTCCCGATTTTTCACAATTTTCCCCATTTACCCTGTGACGTCTAAGTGCACCTGTTTCGACGAAAACAAAACGACCACGAATTTTACCTAGCTATTAGGAGACCCTGAATATAAATCTAACAGTCTTATTTATGTAAAAACGGTCAAACTCTATAAGGAATTTGCCGAGAAGTATAGGATAATGCAATGCAGGGTTCATTCGCAATTTAGTTATAAAAATTTCATCTCACTCCAACAAAAACAAAAATAAATTTGTTTGTATCCTTGAAGTTCATATTTTATTATCCTACGAGTTGTAATTGGAAGAAACTTCTTTTATAGGAGGCTAGGGTAACTTTATTAATTTAAGACTCTACAAGTTTAACTATTACTTGTGAAGTATAAAGATCTTCAACAAACCAAAATTTATGAAGGTATAAACTTTGGCAAAAATTCGACCATATAATACAACCATAAAAACAGAATTGTTTTTAAAAATAGTCTACCTCTACGATGCATCAAGTATCCACTCCGTTTTCCTTGGTGTCGGCAATACTGTACCCAGTTTGTTTTTCTTTGAACGATATTACTAATAATGATTGCGCAATTCCAAAAACGATTATGCAACACGTTGAAAAAAATTGCGACCTACAAATCCTCCATGACGGTGATTTGACATCGGATTACTTTTCATTCTTACAAGATCTATATCTCGCGAGAACAGTAATATTTATGCCACAGTTTGAGAAAAGGGTCGCCAGTTTTAGAAGTATCATAGGCTTGTCATTCATTATTGACGTTTCGGTAACTCGACCGGCCGGAAATAAGATAAGTATTTGGTTAAGCAAACGTCTACTGGCCAAAAATTTACAAAGTCTTGACACACCCAAGTTTACAGCTTGGTTGATGGTGTCTACTACATTTCATTACACTAGTAAATTGAGTAAAAGTTGGAAATACATATCCGCCATAAAAATACTTACCCAATAATTATAACCAAGTTTAGCTTGGAGGAAGCAGCAAGCGTTTTAGAAATCTACAGTCACAACATTTATTATGAAAGTTTGTTCATACTCCTCATCTCAGGACGAGGTTTAAAAATTTGTGTGAAAAGGTTAGCGCTGCTACCTAATATTACGGAGAGTTATGATTGCAAATTAGCAGACGATGGTAAAATATTGGCCGATTATGAGAGGCTTACCCCGTTGCAGGAAACTTGGGTAGGGTCTTACAATACTTTCATCAGAGATAAACGTGATACTATCGAAATCAGAAATTTTCCTCACTCTTCGTTAAATCTGTTTGATGGTAAGATCTATAAGTCCATTCCAATGTACATGGCAGCAATTTTGGTGGAAACGAGGAAAAATGCGACGTTCATTTTACAGCGAAATTTAAACGAAGATTCACATGTGGTGGTGGAAACCAATTTATATCTTTTCAAAAAGGAAGGCGCACTTTGGGAATACACTTATTCTACCGGCTACCAATTTCTGAGTTGCTATGCTGATTCCTATATAACGTTTGATTTCTACGTGACACCATTCCAGCCCGCAGTGTGGCTTGGTTTGGTATCAAGCTTGCTTTTTACTTTTATGATTCTCTCCGTCTACATATTTTGGAAGTATGAGAGGTCTGCGATTCCATTATTTTTGTCCTTCCTATCTTTATTTTTTGATGATTTCACATCAGTTCCAAAATATATAGCAAATACGTTTTTCTATCGTATCTTATTCAGCGCTTTGGGATTGGTTGCTGTTTTGTTAACGAATTGTTATACTGGAATAATGATAACAGAACTGAACGCGCCGTTGCAGCAATCACGGCCGGAAACGTTTCAAGCCCTGATATGTCAAGATAAGCATATTCTCAACAACAAAGACTATCAAGATATTGCAAGATGGGCAAAACATACCAATTTAGATTCATATTTTGAGTATTGGGGGAAGACGAATTTATGGAAACTAAATCCTCCAAATGTTTTTGCGGCGGATAGCTGCTTTAGAATGCTTTCAACCCCGACACAGACTGTACTTGGTGCAACGTACGTATGGTATACCCGTTTATATAACATATATTTCTTTGATATCAAAAAACTACTAAAGAAATTTCAGCTCAGTAGGGAAACTACTGCAGAAATTAGCAAAAATATAATGTTTTACCTCCTTCTTTTGAATCCGGTCCATAACTTTCTTCCCAGCGGTATCAATTTCACAAAGAACAGGCACACCGCTACAGAACTGCAAGATTTGGTGGAGCGAGATATTACAATTTGTAGGAAAACAACTGTACTAGTGGGGACGACGGATCTGATTGAGGGAGAGATGGATTTTCCTAGTAAAAGTTACCCATCAAGGAAATTTTATTCTGGAAGCGACCTACTGGAACAGAAACGGGCTGGATGGATATTTCTTGGTGGAGGTAGGAGTCCAGTATCTAGAAGTATATCTTCAGTTCATCAGAGATTTAAGGCTCTCGTTCATTCCGGGATTTATTCAAGATTGAAAAGGGAAATGGCAAGAAATATGTGGAAAAGGAGAAGACCAGTAGTTAATGATACGTCCTATATGATTTCATCGATGCGTATGAACGGAAGACTTGTGACACTATTTATAATCTGCGGTTGTCTGTTTTTTGTTGCCTTGATAGCCTTTGTAATCGAAGTTCGTAATTACGCTTGGAAATATTTGTATTTAAATGGTTATCTGAAGTTACATTCATGCTGTAAAAAATTAATTTTATTCACATTTCGCAGCAAAATGTGGAACAGGAAAGCGAATACATAAATACAGATAAGGTTTATGAGGTGAGAGGCACACTTAAATAATAAAATAACGATGAAATTGAAATTAATTTTTATTATATTTTCGACTCCTTTGCTTGCGTTTGTGAACATTTTTATTTCATTACTTATTTCATTGTTCCAATAATTTCTAAGAATCATTACTGCACAACAATTGTTTAAGATATGTAATCACTTTTTCATGAATCTGCCAGGGAAAGCTTTATTTTACGTGCGACGGTTTACTGGGATTATAATTTGAAAAAAAAGCTTTATTGTTTCTGAATAATAATAGATATTATCTGTAATACATAGTTAGCTGGAATTATTTAACTAATATTATTCGGTCATTCCTTTGTTATTTATCTGCTACCGAACAGGTAAATTAAAATTGGTTACAATGTTTGCTGATAATTAAGATAATAATTCGCAAGAAACACTTCCTGTATGGTTTGTTTGCTTGTCGCACATACTAGTAGATTGTTTTGCATTATCAAAACAACATAAAAAAATAATTGGCACTATTGATAGTGAGCTTACTACCGTAATTTTTATATGAAAAGTAAAGTTGAGTGAACTTGTTTGTGAAATTATTATTTGTGCTTGGAATATAAAGACGTTTATTTATCGGATGGATTACATACTTGTATATAATGATAACCTTGATAAGAGCTTATCGAATAATTGTGTTGACCAGTGTTACTCCAATGAAGAGGTTTGTTTATGTGGGAGATTTTTTAAGCTGGTTGTTTTGGCCACTATTTATTTATGAGAGGAGGATTAATTTCCGCTCTGCGGATAGATAACGATGTAAATAAATGCTACTGCTACTGGGTATAAAAGCAACTGGTGTTCATGCAATTTGTTCATGCATCAAAAACGTACAAGCTTTCTACAGAATATTGCAGCAAACCTGAAAAACATAAAACCAGAACCGTGAAATAATGACCAGCCTAGCTATAACCCTCTTCCTCTCGACCTTATGGCTCGCATCCTTTACGTCCCCTTGCCGGGGTAATTTTGCAGTTAGAATTTCCCCCACGTCGTCAACGATCTCTGGGTCTCATCAATTGGTAAGCTTTGTCACTTTTGGTATCAAATTGGTACTACAAAATTGGTATGTTATAAAGCCGTTAATATTTTCAGGTCATTACTTCCGAACTCAGACGACAATTCGGCATCCCTAACGACTCCGATCTGAAAAACGGCGTACGAATCGATTTCGGCAAGACCCCCAATGACGCCTTCGTCAAGAGCCGCACCCCTTGGAACGACCTCTACAGCACGTACGGATGGCAACAAGTGACATCCAAGATGACCGGACAACTCGGGTCGTCCTTCACCGAGCGGGAGACCAGGAGCGTCATCGCAACAAACGATTACGACAACGAGAGCAACCAAAACGTCACGATCAGGGAGATCTTGTCCCACGTCATTTATGACCCCGTAGAAACCACGTGGTCAGGAGAAGTTGGACTTAGCGCGAGCCATGATTTCAACATTGACGTCCTCTTCATGAAAGGGTCAGCCAGTTTGAGCTTCACCACCAAGATTGGGTACTCCAACAAGAAAACTTCAGCCTCAACTGTGGGATCCAGTACCGAAGTTGAGCTAGTCTTACGCCCAAAGAGTTCCGTTACTGTCGAGATTGTGTCCAAGACCGCATATTCTTCGCCTGTATGGCATGTAGTAATCTCCACTGATTCAAATTTCCCGCAATTGCTAAGATCTGGATAAATATTTATCGGAAGTTCGATGTGTTGTAAGTTCGGTGCTGAATAAATCAATTGTTGTGCGAGGAATTTAAGACTATCCGACAACTTCCTGACTGTATCTGTCAGGGAAATCGACTTTAAACACGGTCTCATAATTGTTGTGGCGTTTTGCTGACGGGAAAAATTACTTGTGTCGAATCCTTCCATATATCCTTCCATATATTTGTAAGCTTGAAATTTGAAACTTTTCAAGTTCGCACAGCGGTTTTCAAGCAGAGCTCCAACCTGGGGAATCGTGTAATCACGAATCAGCGTGACGGAAATATCTTCCATGAAGTTAGAGAATTTTTCGAAAAATGTAAACATTGTGGTTGCCATGGAATTTTCATCGTCACACGTGGTTATCTCAAATCTTCGTGTCAATTTTGGATTCAAGCAGGGTAGCAAATCTTCATACTGGGGTAACATCCTGGAACAAGAGGGGCACGATGAGCACCAGGGAAACACAAAGGCGAGGAGTTAGCATGGATAAGATGATATCATTCCAGAATGGAGATACCAGCCGGCAGGTTTTCAAAGGAATGTGTCTGTAGGTCAGTATTTTTTCGAGAATCTGAAATAACAAGGTGGAAATTAATATGGATATTTGGTGTTAAAATTGGACATATTTACGTAAGGGTTATTCAGTGCCAGTTCCGTCGCGGAGTGTGGAAGGACCTCGTTCAAATCGTGTTTAAGAGTTTCCATTTTTCCGGCCTGCATCAGGAAATAAAATAAAATAAATCAAATTCTAAACCTGTCAGAGTTTAGATTCGCATAGAGTTTAATTTTCAGAAATATAAAATTTTAATGAAAATTTCAATGAATTTGCGACAATATTTGTGACAAGTAATGTATTTTATGTTAAAATTAAAATACTTTACTTTATAGGGATGTACACGTCTTTGCAGAATATAGCTGTTATCCGTTTTACATTCACTGAAAACGTTATCTTAAATAATTTCTAATTATAACTGGAAATAATTCAAAAATTTCACGTTAAATGGTGGAATTATATATTTAATTATATTGAAAATTAAATCTACGAAATATCACATAAACTGAAATTAAAGTGGTTTTCTTCAGTGGTAGGAAAACACTTGAGTACGTCATTTACCAGATGTTTATGAATACTCCAATCCTTTCAGTATTATTCCACCGGCAGACACTCGCTGAGGCATTCGGCAGTCGTCGTTTTTTGTGGGATCAAATATTCGCATACGATCGAATGAATTGAACATTTGCTGTATTGAAATGAGGATTCATTTATATACAAACTTGAGCACAGATAAACAAAGGTACTCGACTTCTCATGATGAGACAAAGCCATGGAAGCAGGCACAGCGATAGAATTCTACCATACTAACGGATAAAGTTAAAATAAACTATGAAAAAACTAGGCGGTTTTGTGGTGCCCGTGGCACCACGATGTGGCCTACGATGTGAGCTTGAACAGCCAGAGCCACGGCCCGACTCTGGCTCTGTCCGACGATCTGGCTGCCGATCGGGCCGACAATCCGGCTGCCGGTCGGACCGACGATCGGGCCGACGATCGGGCGGACGATCTGGCTGCCGGTCGGGCCGACGATCTGGCTGCCTGTCGGGCCGACGATCTGGCTGCCGGTCGGGCCGACGATCTGGCTGCCGGTCGCGCCGACGACCTGGCATACGAAGTGAGCTTGCGCAGCCAGAGCCACGGCCAGACTCTGGCCCTGCCCGACGATCGGGCCGACGATCTGGCCGATAAGATGAGCTTGCGCAGCCAGAGCCACGGCCAGACTCCCTGGCTCTTACTCTGCTCAGTAATACATTGTGAGATAGGCTGAAATAATACATAGAAGGGATGCGTTACAGACAGACAGACAGAATTGGGTAAATATATAAGTTAATAATTCTTTTCTTTGCATACGGGAAAGCTATTGTAATGCTTCACTAGTTTTATGTCGCATAGTATGGTGACCGGACAAGATGGTATGGAAATAATGATAGCGGACAAAATGAAAAATATGAAGCAAAATTAGAAAAACTTAGGTTAGTGAGTCATCCATACTAATTTTTCAAACACCTCAAATTGAGGTGTAAATGGATGGGAAATTACTTCGAGACAACATAATTAAAGTCAAATTTAAGAAAATTTTTCAATTGCTATGACCCAACAGAGTTACCTACACCGAGTACTAAAAGGGCATCGGGCACAGTGCACCCGTCCCACTGCACCCGGAATGAAAGCACCCGTCCCACTGCACCCGGAATGAGTGCGCCAGCCCCACTGCACCCCTTCCACTGCACCTGGACTGACCCCACCCGTCCCAACGCACCCAGGCTGACCGCACCCATCATAACTAAAACATAACAAAATTCCATACAAATCTTACTATGTAAATATGTATTGCTAATCACTGGAGCTGCTTATAACTGTGGAAGTTTCTCCAAGTTCAGAATGCAGAGTGGACAAGGACAAAAACTAAATCACTTTACTAAAACTTATTGCATTTATTCCCCCCGGCCCCAACCAATCACAATGATCGTTATTATGGCCAATTTAAACCTTTAGGTTACAAGAGGAGCCGATATTATGTATTGACAATTTTGTTATGAGTGGTACACTAATTGTCATTGTACTACTGCTTCTTTTCGAAATGTAGAATTATATTTAGTCACTTATGGCCAAAAGCTTCGTGTCGCGTTTCTTGCGGACTTATATACTGCATTTCTTCTACTGCAAAGTAAGATACACAAGAAATAGAACGCCATTTAGCGACTTGATGTATTAACTATACCGGCAGGAAAAGTTTCCAGAAAGGGCCGGAATATAAAGTCGCCGAGTTGTTTAAAAACAATACCATTGTTTTTTAATTAGTTTATGCAAATGTTATTGAAATTATTAAACATACAAACAAATGATGGAGTGTTTTAAATTTAAAAAATTACAATTTATCTTTAACTTCCTGGTCGACCTGCTCTCCTGGCGACAAAGAAAGTGGAAAGTCGGTGGAGAAAACATTTTTTGAGAGTCCCAACACCTCCGTGAGGGCTGTGGCGTCAAAAATGAAGATAAGTCGCTCATATCTTCACCAAATTAAAACTAAGACGTTGTGCGTCAAGACCTACAAAGCCAAAACTGCACCAAAATATAACGAAGGTCAGAAAAAACGGGCCAAAACCGCCTGCCGAAGAATTTATGAAAAATTCTTGAAGCAGGGTCCACCGAAGTTACTCGTCACGGACGATGAAATCTACTGCACCGTTGACCCCGAAAGTGTCCACTGTGTCAAGTTCTACTCCTGCAGAGATAAAAAAATATTCTGCACGAACATAAATTCAAGGGAAAAGAAAATTTCATAAGAAGTATATGATCTGGCTAGAAATCGACGAAAACGGGGACGTGTCAAAACCACCAATTATTTCCAAGATTTTGAACTCGCAACTTTATCTGAAAGAGTGCATCAAGAAGAGGCTGATCCCATTCATCAAAAACAAAACTGTTTTCTTTTGGCCGGACATGGCAACGTCTCATTATGCCCAAATTGTGACCAACTTTCTCCATGAGAAGAAAGTCGATTTTGTCGAAAAAAAGGATAACGCTCCTAACGTACCTCAATCTCGCCCGATCGAGCGGTTTTGGACATTACTCAAGAGAGAATACGCGAAAAGAAGTAATCCACCGAAAAGTTTGAGAGGTTTTCAACAGGTCATCGGAAATTTGATTAAGAAAGTTGCAAAAAATCATGGCAAGACCCTAATGAAGAGCGTCCGCTCTAAACTTCGAAAAATCGGAAGAGAAGGAGTATATGGGCCGCTCAAGGATTAAATTACGTATGTGAATATTTGTTTAATAATTCCTGAAAGTTTCATGAAATTTGATTCAATAATCATTTTTCTACAGGTCATGAAACAGGGTGAGTCTTTGTTTCCCGAGCAGGCCTTATGTTGTTGGTATATCTGAGTTATAAAAAGGTGCATGGGATCAAGGCCTGAAGTAGAGGTGGGCAAGTGCTCCCGGGGGGCCGAAAGGACGCCACAACTTACACAAGCAGATATAATAATAAATACCTAGATATACATAATCTAGTATTATTCATTTCTGACACTATAAAATTTATTTTCTAAATGGTAAGAAACTACTCAAATTTTGTTTAATTTGCTCAACCAGTATAGGAGGGATTACATATGAAATTTTTATTTGTTGTTTCGATTTATTTAAGTCAATCAAATGAATTTCCGTTAAGATTTTCTTATATTAAAGACCCAGAGTATTGCGTAACACTTTAAAACACCTTAACGTGAGGAATATAAATATTTAAATTAAAAATACAATAACAGTAGTAACATTTATCCTTGAAAACACTAATTGAATACAAGTATTATTAACTTATATAGTTACCCAGTTCTCTCCGTCTGTCGGAATGCATCCCTTTAATGCTTTATTTTACATTGCAGGGATAGCAAAGAGGGGCATTCACGTACCAGGTCGCATACTCGCATGCAGTTTGTATGCGTCCTGTGTCTGCAGTATTTGCTGCCCATGGCCAGATCGTCGGCCAGACGCTGTCACAATGGTTATGGTTTAATTGGTAATGAAATGGAATAATAATAAACTGATGATTTCCTAAGCTTATTTTTCTCATTTCTTAATCGTAAGGATCACACGTCTCACGCATGTCTGCAATCCAACATGTATTACTCTCATCATTCTTATGGCCAACCGTTTTGCGGAGTAAGCCGACAGTTGCGTCATTAATCCGATTATTTGCAGCACTTGTCCTCAATTTTGCAGACGTTGGCAACTTGAACATGTGAAAATAAATCTCATTCCACGTCATAAATATTTCCATGGATATGTATTCCCTCTTCCTCCCTCACTTGACAAAACCTGTAACTTGAAAGAAGTTGGGAAGGATAAACTTAAAATAAATATAAGAACGATGAACGTAACGCTTTTTGAAATTTTTGCAATCTCCTTGGTCCTCCTCGTTCCCGAGAGTTTAAGCGACAGCTTATATTTGAGCCATAGTAAGCGAAATAAAATTAAAAATATTATTTTTATATAATTTGGGTTGCATCAGGTCATAATTTAAAAATTTAATCTAAATAAATTATCTTTATAAAAATTGATGTCTTGAATTGTAGGGCGATGCAGCCCTCTTGGTACGTCTGTCGTGACAAGTCGACCTGACGGATCGTCAGACTCTTGCACTTGTCATCCCCCTCCACCTCCGACAACAACGATCCACCCACCAGCCCATAAATGGGGGCGGCGACATCGACCCCCTAAGGCAACGTGGAAGTGTACCACGATTCTGGCCCCCACCATGAAAGCAGCGCCCACCGCCACCACCAATGGTAGGATGAAGGTCAATTGTGTTTTAAATAAATGATAAATGTTTTTTGTTCCTTGAGATGATACATCTTTTTCCTGAAGAGACTTGGGGTTACAATTAATCCCGTTTATGTCAAATTTAATGACAGATATGGTCACTGTGTTTAGAAATAATTTAAGACGACATGTTTTCTAATTCTCTGAATTAATTTCTGTATGTACATGTTCCTAATCAAGTTAATGAATTACGTAATATTTTTGTAGGTTTTGAAAATTCCTTGGTGCTTGTTAAGGAGGCGAAGGTAAAATTGAGAAGAATTGGTGTACAGGGAGCCCCGATACAAAAAGGACAGGTAGCGGATATTAACTTTATCCTATGTAAGCGACCAGTTTTCAAAAGTCTAAAATCTATTTTCTAGCCCAAATTGGGGGTTGAGAATGGGCCCATGCTAATCCGCAGTTCTGGTATCGTTGAATTCCTTCAAGATGTAGGGCACGATATTCTCGACTATGGAAACATCCACTTGGGCGAAGTTTTCAATGCGGCGTCAGTCGGGGGGAATGTCAGCATTCACGATCCCGCCGACGTGGGAGAAGCGACGCATCATGTAAGATAATTTTTTTTGTGTAAGACATGCATTTCCAAATTCAGGGTAACACATAATTATATGTAATTTCAATTAATTAAAAATAATTACTTATTTTAAAAGATATACAACAACACCAAGCAAATCCTTGAAGAGCACCGTTTCCCCCTAACATTCGGGGGAGATCACGCACTGGCTATCGGCACGTTGAGCGCCATGTCGGAATACTACCCAGACCTGGCCGTGATCTATATTGACGCACACGCAGACATTAACACGGTTGACACTTCCCCCAGCGGAAATATGCACGGGATGCCGCTATCCTTCGTGATCAACGACTTGTACGGAAGTAATTCCAATTTGACCGATTATTTCTCCTGGGTCGCGGCTAGGTAGGAGGAACCAAAATTTATTTGATCTATGCATTTAAATATTTAGTCACTTAATTTGAATTTTCTAGAATACCCGCCAATAATGTGGCTCAAATCGCCTTGCGCGACGTCGACCCTGGGGAAACTGCGATTATTGATAAGTTAGGAATGGCTTCTTTTACGATGCGTGACATTGACCGGTACGGAATTCGGAGGGTGGTCGATCTCGCGCTTGACAGGATTAAGGGGAAGACGAGGCCACTATACGTTTCGATGGATATTGACTCGTTGGACGATATGGAAATTGGGAGCACGACCGGAACCCCAGGTTCGCTCAGTGGGTGGATGATGAGGTTGGAAAGGAAAATTAATTAAATTTGTATTTTACTGGGAATAGTTCCGGGGGGTCTGACGTTAAGGGAGGTTCTAACAATGATTGAAGACCTGTACCGATCTGCCAACATTGTCGGTTTTGAACTGGCCGAAGTTAACCCCGCCCTTGGAAGTGAGGTGGCAGGGAGAAGAGTTGCAGAAATTAGCAGGCACATTTTATCCTGTGTTTTTGGCTCGTGTTATGGACGCCGGGTATAATTGGGAGCGAAATGTGTCTATTAGTTTTAGCTATTTTTGGATTACAGGAACAAACAAATTAATTTACAAATTTGGGAACAGGGGATTAATGTAATATTTTCTGTGTGTGGATTTATCCTACTTAAATAACAAATTTTATGTAATCTTCAAATTTAATCTTCAAGTAATTCTTCTGTACAATCTTATGGTTTAAATATCAACCATTATTTTGTCAATGTAGACACAAATAAAATTGAAGACAAATATTTGACGAAGTTTACTAGATATTTTTAATGTCATCGTCATAGAAAATAATTTTTTATGATTCATCTGATGTTAGATAAGTAAAACTGTTTACTAAATATACAAAATATTCACGCAAGTTTTACCCAGAAAATCATATATACTTTCTCAAATACTAATGCCATGTTCACGCGATGCTCTGCTTATTTAATTTTCATAACGATACTTTGCAAATTATCTATTCATAGTGATACTACGCAAATAAAGTTTTCTTGAATGTATCATGCAAATTCTGTTTTCATGTCTATGCTATACAAATGTGTCTGCAAATTGGTAGACAGTTTTTATTAGTTGACAGGTTTGGTAAAATGTAAGTCAAACACGATCTGTAAAATAATTTAAATTTCCTCCAAATATCAGTGCCAGGTTAGATTAAGATTGAAATAGTTTCATTAAAAGAATAATTTTTCATAATACTCAACAAAATAAAAATAAAAAACGTCACAACATTACTGGAATTTAAAATTAAAATTGTCACTACACACTTAAAAATATTTGCTAAATATGTAACAAAATTACTAAATTCAATAAATAGTAAATTTTAACTTGAAATGAAGCAGGAAGGGCCGCGACGCAATATATAGTTAGAGTGTCGAAGGTCAAAAAGCAACAAGCATTAGTTTAAACTAATTAGCTAAATATTAAGTAAAGAGCGGTGCTCACGGTAGAGCAGAGCTTTGCTAGAAATAGTGGACGAGCAATCTCAAAATCAATCACGCATACTTTCAATAGAGGATTTGCTACACTATTTTAGGTAGTTAGTATGTATTGATTAACCAAACCCATCCTGCAATCACACAGGAATCCCACAGGAATAAAATATAGGAAATGAAATGACAACACATTTAATAATTCATTGAATGAATTATTAGTTTGCACACGCTTTCTTGAAATTGAGGTCGTGTAGGCCCTGATTAATTTTAAAATTTACAATACATTTTTACTTAAGGGTTGTAGCTCACCTTAGAAGGCTACCTGGCAAACCGAGGAGTTGAGATGATTGGATTTGTTGAGTAGCAGGAATAATGTATCGTGTCAAAAAATGCGTGCTCAGCCTCACAGTAACCATTTAATCCGTTATTCCACCCTCCTTATAGATATTCCTTCACGAGGAGAAAATAACATACTGAATTATTTGACGCGTAATTTGGTCGCCAAAACTAGCAAAGTTGTTGGATTAAAAAACAGCACTCTATAGCTCCATGAATTAATTCTATGGGTGGCATTATCAGTTAAATAAGTTATTCGCCTGTTATTCGAATTATACACGCACTCCATACAACAATCCACCCATTATTTGTATAACACTCTGTCCAGCATGTTCTCCACGGAGTTTCTCCCTCTGCTGAAATTGCATTTAAAAATTGCCAATCTGCTAAACTGTACTCCACTCGTGTATAATTGTGCGACGGGAAGATTCACACAGACAAAGTCGGTAAAGACGGTAAGGAAATTTAAGCAACAATGTGTCCTCTCCGCCCTGTACTGTGTCGCTCTGTTGGGAAATTTATGCTTTGGGAAGCCACCAGTAATGGAGAAGTTAAAGGGAGTCACATTCTTCATCCTGTATCTGGGTCAGGCCGTTGTGAAATGGAATTACAATTTGGACATGAGTGGAATCCAATTTATTAACGGGTTTCTGGTTTTTGCATTTAAGATCAGGTAAATACATATTTCCTTTGGACCGTTTTTAAGTATAGTGTAAAGGATTTATTATTTTTACCGGAATGATGAACACTTTATTAGAATTTGTATTTCGTTCTTAGAATTGTGTTCCAAAATATCTAAGGATAATCAAAAATTAAAAAAATTATGTTTAAGAAATTTCATAAAATTATATATTACATATTACGTATAATAATTTTATAAATTGATGCAAAATTTTTTCATTTCCGAAAGGTGTATCCGACAATATTTTTTATATACGTGCACCCTCACGGTGAATGTAGTTTGAATTGTCTCAAAAATGTGCATGCATTCCGCAGATTCACTTAAGAGGAAGCCATCCAAGGCTAGTAAAGCCATGATGGTGTACATTTTAATGGCCGAAGCCACCATAGTAGCGATCCCTAGTTTTCAGTTTTTCTTGCTGATTACCCGCCCGTGTACGGCACCCTTCATCATGTCGATGTTTGAGTCTTGTTCACATGTCCCCATTTTGGTCCGTGGTATCACAAGTGGTTTCGAGTCTTGGATGGCTGCTCATATGCTGTACGCTGGCTTCATTTGGATCTACTACGGATTTACGGCTGGAATTGTCTGCATCCTGGAGTATTTTCGTATTCTTGGAAGGTAAATATTTATTTAAACGTTTTACAACGTAGATATTTATAATATCTCTTTGCAACGTTCTGCCAACGATGTCAAGAAAATGCTAAATATAGTTGACAAAAATTATGCTCAAGGTGGATAAATTTCCTTCACTCGTTGCTTCTTAGCTAAAAATAAACCCGTTAAAATACGAACAACTAGGCATAACCTTAACAGAGACGGCCAATTTTGCTCAACCAAAGCTAAACTTTGATCAAATTTAAGTATTTGAAGTTATATATTGCTAATATATGTGAAAATAAGGAGAAAGTCAGGTGGGGGGCTAAATTATATTTAGTTTTGGGGCTTGATCCCCATTTCCAAAAATATGTATTAACTAGGCAATACCGTGGTGCCCGTGGCACCACATAAATTACTAACTGAATTCATATTTGTCCAGTTCAGTCCGTCCTTCACGCATCTATCCAAGTAACGGTCTTCAAAGCATCTATTCTATTAATTTAACCGTGGGTTTTCTCGATTGATTTGTACTCCATTCCTCGTAAATCCCCATTCTGGACTATGATCAGGTTCTGGCTTCCGCGAACGATATCGCATATGCTTTTGCCTTGCCAGTCCAGAGCCCGACTCTGGCTCCGGCCGACGATCTGGCCTATGTCGAGAGTATAAGGTCAGAGCCTCGTCCCGATTCTGGCTCTGCCTGTTGGACTGGGTGCTGATCTAGCTGCTCAGTAATACATTATGAGATAAGCAGAGAATAATACATAGAAGGGATGCGTTACAGAAAGACCGATAGACAGACAGAATTTAATATGGAATATTAAATATTATTCTGTTGATATTTAATATCAACAGAACACCGATAATTTTAAAGTGGTCATAAATTGGGAGGACGATCTGGCCTACGAAGTTTGCTTACGCAGCCAGAGCCACGGCCAGACTCTGGCCCTGGCTGCTCAGTAATACATTGTGAGATAGGCTGAGAATAATACATAGAAGGGATGCATTACAGAATGACAGACAGAATTGAGTAAATATATAAGTTAATTTGGTGAGTTCCAAATTATGCATAACTGGTATACACACATAATGTCGAACAAATTTATACAAATTCAGGGGTATATTAACATGGTTATCTTTTTTGATAATTAATGCCGTCACAATTTTTTTTCTCAAAATTGTCGAACATTTTTAAACTTACAAGGAATGACCCCGGACTGCTTCTTGAGTTAGACGTCGCCACTATACGCATTCAATGCATTAACTAATACCAGTCACCCAATCCACAAGAATTTACGTGTAAAAATCACATGCGGAAAAGATATGACGACTTTTGTGACGAGAAATGACGAACTTTTCCAATGGTAAAGTAAGTGACCTTTCACTCTTTTCTCTCGCTCCGCTTTCATCGCTTCCGCTCGCCCGCACAAAAATTATCTCCAATTTTGCTTGCATTCTCCTCTCCGTATTTTATATTTTTTTTAATTGATACTAATGATTATTAATTAATAATTATTGGTGCTAATTATTTCCTTTACAGTATTTTCAGTAATGTGGAGTTTATTTTTTATTCGTCAAACTTTACAATAAAAAGTTTAGCAGATTGGATGAAAAAATGCATTACAAATGGCCTAAATTATTTACTTTCACCCATGTTGACCGGCACTACTTTCTCACAAAAGTAATATCGTCACACTAATTCTAAAATGACTTAAGTGCAGTCGATACTTAATTCTAAAATGACTTATATGCCGCCAATGCATAATAAAATGACTTATGTGCCCACAAAAATTGTTCAATTTTAATATTAAAAACCAAATATGTATACAAAACAATTTTTGAGTAACATAATATGAGAATCTAAACGTGTTTATCGTAATTATAAACTAAAAAAATTATTCTATGTAACGATCATAAATTACAACCAATTTATTTGATCTTATGGTATCTACAAATATTATCATTTAACTCAATTTTTTTCATTTTTTGTGCACATAAGTCATTTTAGAATAATTGTGACGATATAATAAGATAAAATAACTTTCCTATAGTTTGTAACCGTTGCATTGTATTATTTTTCGAACTTATAATTATTATAAATACGCTTAGATTCTCGTATTATGATTCTAAAAATTGTGTTAAATATACCAGTATATGACTTTGGGTTTTTAATTTGAATTATTTGGAAATTGCACTTAAACAAATGTTATTGTTTTTTGTGCACTTAATTAATTTAAGAATTAAGCATACGTCATTTTAGAATTACTGGGACGATATTAAATACTTTTATGAGAAAGTAGTGCCGGTCGACATGGGTGAGAGTAAATAATTAATGCATTTTTCATTCAATCTACTCACTTTTGGTTGTGAATATCGGCGCATAAAAATAAACTCCTACGACATTAAGTGAAATAATTAACACCAGAAATAATTATTACCACCAATTAAAAAATATAAAATCCGGAGAGGAGAATGCAAGCAAATTGGAGAGGATTTTTTATGCGGGCGAGCGGAGACGATGAAAGCGGAGCGAGAGAAAAGAGTGAAAGGTCACTTACTTTACCATTGGAAAAGTTCGTCATTTCTCGTCACAAAAGTCGTCATATCTTTTCCGCTTGTGATTTTTACACGTAAATTCTTGTGGATTGGGTGACTGGTATTAGTTAATGCATTGAACCCATATAATGGCGATGTCTAACTCGAGAAGCAGTCCGAGGTCATTCCTTGTTAGACGCAACGTTAGTATCGCTTTCGCACAATTTCATAATAAGAGATTTAGGTTCATGTATATTTGCTCATCTTTTAATTTAGTGACATCAAATCGATCCCAGTTGGACACGATATCGGTGAATGTATCCAGTTCAACCGGCAGATTCAACTATTGGAGAAACTATTCAACGCTTCCCTAATGTATAAGGTGGTCCCGGTTTGCGTATTTTTGGTTCCCATGCTGGAAAGTTTTTGTCTATTCGTGTGTATCAAGCTACATGGCGAAACTCCCTACCCGGGATTCGTACTTTTCCCCATACTCGTCGTGGACACCGTGATTCACAACATGTTTGTTTTTACGGTGGCATCTTGGGTTCATAATGAGTCGCATGAGGTGCTGCACAGGCTGGCCAAACAGTCGGTGGTGTTGGGTCGAAAGGAAAAAGGAGTGGATAAGCGAATGATAAAGGCGAGTACCGTTTTTAGGGTAAAAGTTGGTTCATCGAACTATGTCGATAAAGGAACTCCGCTAGTAATGCAGGATTTTTGTATGAATCAAACCGTGAACTTGATTTTATTGCAGGAGGATTAATTGTTTTCAGAATATTTATGTGATTGAGAACTATCAATTTATATTTTATTGAATTAAATGATGTAATGAGTGACGAGCGTACCCAATCATAAAATATTTTGGTTAAGAAATGCAGTCATCAGGAATAGTATACATATTTAAGATAAGCTAAATGTATGCAGAATTGTAATTTGTATGTATTTACTTGCCAAAATAAAGTCAGTCGTTTGAACTGAATTAATAATCAGAACAACATACATAATTTGTAATTATATTATTACGTGATTCTAGCAATAGTACCAACGCACAATTCCAAAAGATTAGTTTCATTGTTGAAGAGTTTGCCTCTAAGTACGACTGAGCTTCCACTGAGGACGTCGTTCGCAACGAGGGCATAAGTGACGGTGTAAGTTGACCCCGCCTCGACATTAGAGTTAGGTAGCACCTCTTCCAAGATTACGGTGTTGAAGCCGAAATTCACAACCTCGACCTTCAGCCTTAAACCTGTGCCGGAAGTGCCTTAAGGAAATAAGACACAGAAATTCAAAATCTATATTTCAGTTTATTAACTTTTAGTTGTGACTTACTGGGAATGAAATCTATCACAGAGGTGTAACTTATCCCGGGGACAAAATTGCATCCGTTTGACCCTTCGCAGTCGGTGATCCTAAGCTGCACGATAGATCCTGCCCCACCACATACACAGTTTGGATTTTGCGCTTGCGAGCAAGGAATATCTACACCGGTAATCCCATTAGTGTCGTTGGCTGCTAGTCTTATTTCCTTCGAGAATATGGAGATACTAGAAACTCCCAGATTGGCACGAGCATTGCAGGCAGCAATACCGATAGCTACAAGTACTAGGACTCCGAGCGTTTTGTACATTTTAAATCGAAATATTTCACTAAAAAAATAATTAATACTTGAGTCGGGTTATAAATTTGGCATACGAATGAATCTTTTTGTACAGTTCATATCATTATTTATACCTCGTCAGACAATGATGTCAAGGTGTGACCAGTGCTTCGTTCGAAACGAAATTATTTCGTTTCGTTTCGTCGGAATTCGAAACGAATCGAATCGAAACGCCTACGAATTTCGTTTCGAAGTTATCGAAACGAAATATTCTCAAAACGAGATACAACTGTGTTCCGTTTCGTCAAAACGAAATTGGAAGTCGTTTCGTTTCGAATTTCGACGAAACGAAACGAAATATTTCGAATTACATTAAAGTTGCATATTGAAGCAGGTTCCCCCGAATAATTCAAATTAGCGGTGAAATAAATTCTCTTGCAAGTTATTTTGGCTCCTTTATATTTTCCCAAGTTGTGCATATCATTTTTACAGAAACTGAAAATTGAATATACGCCTAATGTGTTACGTCAAAAACCAGGTAAAATTAATTAATTTTCAGTAGACATCTAACGTAAGGCATATAAATACAAGCCTATATTTTTAATTAGGAAAAATTATAAACGTGATCCGACTGGCGCTACCAGTCAGATTGCGTATGCATTTAAGCAATCATCACCCGGCCAAACTCTCTGAGAACGATGGCACTGGCATGGTTTTACTTTACCCACCTTTTGAGCTTAATCCCCAGCCCACTGGGTTAAATGGGTAAAATGGGCAAAATGGGTGGGTTTTGGGGAAAATGGGTATGAAAGGTTAGAGTGATGGGGCAGCCTACCTACCAATGTTTAGAAACTTTTATTTTTGATGATTTTTTCACAAACAAATTGCTTTTAGAATTTACGGTTATTTAAATTTATAATTGTCAGCTAATTTCAGTTTGTGAACCACTGTACCGGAAGTAGTTTTATTTATATATTTAACAGTGACACCAAAGTGCATTAGTTCTAGGTTCACATTTCAATTAAGAAATTATCATTTCTTCACGAAATTATCAATAATATTAAAAATATTCTTCGCTATTTGTCTGTATTAAACCTCAACTGTCATCATTAACCTTACATCCCGCAATATATTAAGGTTAATTTTTATCAATCAAACTATGATGTTGTTCAAACTAATTGATTCACTAATTGTCTAATTTCCTTTGGAATTCATTGAACTAAATCATTATTTACTTAAAAAACATGAGATGTGGACTCATTTTGCCCCAATTTACTGTTTTCCCCATTTTGTCCATTTTCCCCACTGGGGAGCTTGTTAGGTGGGTGGAAAAAGCCATTCTCCCCACCCCATTTAACCCAGTCTATTTTGCCCAGGTAAAACCCTGGGCACTGGGATGAAAGAAGCCGATATCTGCTAGCACCGGTATGACGCATATTTTTTATTTATTTATTTATTTATAAGTTGATTTATTGTGCAAAATTTTTTGTCAATATACTTACAAAAAAGATGATCAAACCCCACTAGGTGGGAAATACTCGATCATCTTGTGACCATAATTCGAAACATTTAAATATAGAAGCCTTAAAGTAATTAGTAATTATTCCAACATAATTCTTTTCAGTTTAGCCTTGAATGTAACATAACACTCTTCATTTTTGATATCATTTCGTAAATTATTCCACAATTTCACCCCTCTAAAATTAAACGTTGTTAGTCCGTAGTTAGTTCTTGGATTTACACTGCTTGTCAGACCAACAACGGCAGTACGAGTATTATGGTGGTGTAGATCCTGAACTTTTACAAAATAATCAGTAAAAAATGGGACATTATTAGATTTTAGCAATTTGAACATAATACAGAGTAGCCTATAATCACTCATTTCTTTCGGAAACAACCATTTCAGGTCATTACGTATATCCTCTGCAACTGGATCATACTTTCTTTTCCCCAAGACAAGCCGGGCTAGGGATCTCAACACTTTTTCAACAATTATCAACTGATTACATTTAGCAGACCCCCACACGCTTGCCATATACATAATAACAGATAAAACCATCGCTACACCTATTCTTTCCAACGATTCTTTCGAAAAGTAACTCTTAATCGTATACATAGATCTTACCCTAAAATAAGCAATTCGTGCCATATTATTTATATGCAAATTGTAACTTAATTTGGAGTCAAATATAAAACCAACACATTTCAGCTTATCACAAGGCGTCACATCAATATCAGAAACATTAATTTTAAAGTCCCCTAGATATTTTAGGCTAGATCTAGCACTTATTAATAAAATCTTAGTTTTGTCAGGGTGTAAGGCCAGACTATTTTCTTTACAGTAATTTACTACGTTTAAAAGATCTGTATTAACATTATTTTGCAAAGTTTCCAGATCGGAAATAAGACCAAAAAAGAATATATTCGAGTCATCTGCAAACAGTAGCATTGTACCAAATATTAACACTTGCGGGAGGTCATCAATATGGAGAGAAAATAGCCGTGGTCCTAAGATTGAGCCAGCCGGCACTCCCACCAGCGTTTTGCGAACATTAGATTGCATATAATTAGTGCTAACAAATTGCATTCTATTTCTGAGATAATCCCTCAGCCAGTGATCTGATATATTAAAATTTGATCGTAATTTTTGCAACAATAGTTCTCTAGAAACAGAATCAAAGGCCTTGGCCTGGTCAATTGACACTAACGCACATACATAACCTTGATTAAGTTTAATTTTTATCAAGTCGTTTAATGCTAAAATTAAATGTTCGGTATTGTGTCCTTTTCGGAATCCAAATTGGGCTGGCGATAGCATTTTGTTCGAGGTTATATACTTATCTAGTCTATTGTAATAAATCTTTTCCATTAACAACAGCAAATTAGGCGTAAGAGATATAGGGCGAAAATCAACTGGTTGAACAGCATTATTAATTTTAGGCCTCAGAATTACTTTTGACAATTTTAGCTGAGAAGGAATTATACCTGTTTCAAAAGACCGATTAAACAATAAAAGTAGAGCATCTCTGAATGATGGAATTGGGAGACACATTTTCAGCATTCGTTTTGACATACCCATCACATCCGGTGATGCACTACTTTTTTGTTTTAAACCCTTCCATGCGACAAATAACTCATTAGCACTAACTGACTTAACACTAAACATACCAGGCAAGTCAGCAACAGAATTATTCACACTTAAAGTATCATAAGGAAAAGCATTGTTGTGAAATCCCATTGTACAATAATAATCATTAATTTCATTTAAGTCGATACCGCTTCCTATTTCCCCTTCAATCTTTCCAAATTTTAGACCAAATTTTTTCAATGTTGCCCATACACCTATTTTCTTAATAGACTCGTTAGTAGATCTCTTAACATCCTTAACAATAGAATTTTTTACAATTTTACATAAGTTATTATACTCACAGCGATCATATACTGAGTTTGTCCTCCTCCAAATCCAGTAACAATTGTCCCGTTCACGTATAAGGGAGCAAGTCCGGCTTGAAATAATGACAATTTTTCCTCCACTTTTCACAATATTTTGAACAATTGGTGCTTCTCTATTGAACACAGACAGAACTCGATTAGTTAATTCTTGCATTAATTCGTTAACATCATTATTTAAGTTCACAAAATAATCATCGCGATCAAAATCATGTATAAGAGACTCGAAATTGATATTTTTCCAATTGCGACCTAACTTTATAACATTTTGAGAAGTGATATTTTTAACACGAATATTACACACACAGAATCTGTGATCAGATATGGCTTCGTTATATACATACGAACTTATCACTCTGTCTCTCTGAGATTCTTTCACAATAATTAAGTCTAAAAGACTATCAATTCTAGTAGGCGAACTTAAGATCTGAGTAAAGCTGAACCTTTGCAATAATGTGTTCAATTTCTTTGACTCTGGATTATTATCTAGTAGATTAACATTAAAATCACCAAGTATATACACACTTTTGTTAAAAACATTAAGAAAATTAAATAAGTACTCCATACCCGCAAAATCTGATGAATTATGCTCTGGTCTGTAAACACAGCTGACAGCAAAAGACTTATAGTGTGCAACTTGTACACATATACATATAACTTCAATTCCAGTCAAGGTCAAATTATTCACATCAATAATTTTTACATTTAAATTATTTCTTACTAAAATAGCCACTCCTCCTCCTCTCGTCTTTCTGTCATTACGATAAATTTTGAAATTTGGTGGTATACAACATTCCGTATCAGTATGTAGCCAAGTTTCTGTCAAGCATAATATATCAATATCATATTTATCAATTAAATAAACGATGGAATCGTATTTGTAGGACCGAATGTTTTGATGAGCAATAACAATATTGTTTTTCTTAGCCTTTCGTCACTCATTCTGGCCCACTTCAGGATCCATTCTGCTCCTCTGTGATTGACTTTCTCCATCCGGCGCGTATTTATAAACATTACAGGCAAAAGAAATGAAATTGGTAGGTTCGTCACCTGAGGTACAAAAAAGAAGTCTTTCGAGAGAAAATGGCTACATTTGAGGTTTTAAAAAACCAGCCTTTTACTATTATGGAATCGGAAACTCTGCGTGATGTGATCCAGTACCATAATATTGATGATGACTTGTTTGGTAGGGACGAAAAAACAAAGATGACAGTCTCTATGTACCGGAAATATAAGCAAAATTAACTAATGCAATATTATACGTCAATTATATGACAGCTTAGTGATAACTAAAGTACTTTTTATCGGATAATAGCTCTTATTAGGCGTATTTGTTGTTGTTTCATTTTAATTAAAGTTCTATTTGACAAATTCATCAACATATCTTTTTGCCATCAACAATTTATTTTAGCAGTATAGTACATATATTCAAATTTTCGAAATATTTCGATTCGTTTCGTCGAAATTCGAAACGAGACGAGACGAAACGAAATGTCCAATCATTTCGTTTCGTCGAAACGAAATCAAATCACGGTTCGTTTCGACATTTCGAAACGAAATCATTTTTGTTTCGAAACGAAACGAAATTGACCTCCTTTCGTTTCATTTCGTTTCGAACGAAGCACTGGGTGTGACCAGTTGCTGAGTGCAATAAATCGGTTGAGTGCAAACTAAAATTGTATTAAAACCCAACAACTTGATTTACTGTTGAATCATGTCTTGCTTGTGTGCCTTTCTCGTGTAAAATCCAACACCTGTGATAACAGATCAATTTCACATTTTTTTGGTTATCTACTTGTATTATTCATCTCACCACATTGCATACAATAAACGCGTGACTGATCAGGAGTTTTTTTTAAATGAGAAGACCAAATGATAAAATACGTAAGTGATATGAGCAGATGTAAAACAAGTCTGGCTGGACAGGACAGTGTATATTCCTGATGAAATTAAAGGAACCACATATTATAAAGTAGACATCAACTATACCTTGAAGCAATTTTGACGGGGATGGCCGTTACTAACGGGTATACGTAGCTTGATTAAAAATTTTTGCCTAGTACGTACACAGAAAATTTTAATTACGGGTAACTAATCCGCAATATGACTATACACCGACTAACACAAAACGAGGTAAATTCTGCCGCAAAATTTTTGTCCAGATTAGACAATAGCGCAATGTCTTTACCTGTGCAGCTATGGTGCCGTGTGAGAGTTATGGTTTGAGACTCGCCATGAAATTATCTTTTGCACTAAAAATTCATACTTATATATTTCTTTTTTTTAAATTCATCATGTACGCAATTTTTCTGGTCCCAGTAAGGGTGAGTATTTCTTTTTTGGTGAGTTTTGGCAATTTTTCACATTTGTATTAATTTTTATGCATCAAAAAAATGGAGAATTGTGTATATACATATGTAAGTGTATAAAATGACAAATTATAAAACCTGAAAGAGA